GAAAGAGTATCTGAAGGGTAAGTGACAAGAGGGAATTAGGATCCCAAACAGCAAGAGAGCAAGAGAGAAAGACCAGCTGGGCCAGGAGATGGGGGAACTTAAATGAGGCCCCTGGAGGTATAGACAAGGACTGCTTTGGAAAGACTGATGGTAATCTGGGCATGTGTGACAAGGAGAGAAAGATTTAGGATAGGCAGGGAGCAAAAGGGTCACACCCTGGGATGAAGACATGAGGCAACACAACAGTCACAGACCAGAGTACATCTGCCTACAAATGGTGGAACAAAGTGCAAGATTTCCAAATGTTTTATAGCTTGGTTGCAAGGAAAGATCTGAAATTAACTGGCAAAAAAGTGTGATTCTCAATCCCCTCTAAGGATGATTCTCATGCAGGATGGCAGCTGATGTATGTAGTAGTTACTCCACTAGAACTGAAGACGACTGCTATTTGAACAAGTGGTTTAAAGATTTCAAACCTGAGGCTTGAAATGTAGGTTTTAGTAGAACCCACATGAAAGAATTTCATTCCTTTGTAACTTTTTTCTTTTAAATGAAGTAAGTTGCGCAAAAAACATTAAAAAGAAGAGAGAATGTTAGTGTTCCAAAATCAAAGAATCAAGTTTAGAAAAAGACAGCAGTTAGGTTGTCCAAGCAATTCAAATCTTTTGGCTTTCATATATGCGCCATACACTCTTAAATAACACAATCATACACTCATTTTTATAGGACCCGTTTCATTCATTTTATAAGAAAGACTGTGTTCTCTGTAAAAAGAGAGTTCTATAGTGAAGAAGGCTGAAAAATAGAGGTATGATTTCATGGTTAAATGATGCTACCACAGAAAAGTCAAAAAACTGATAGGCAGAGACTTCCTAAGTGATTTATGTTAAGGATGAACAAAAACAAACTGCAAGCTTTTCTGGGCCCCACTTTGAGACACTGTCATTTAATTTATAGAAGAGATTTGCAGATCTGTAATGAACAAATAAAGATTGCACACTGAAACTCAGGACCTGTAAGCCTCACAGTGGCATGCAAAATTAATGGATGCATTTAATCTTTATTTGCCGCAGTTCCTCCCTCATCTGCAAAACAAAAATATCACTTACTCTGCTGGAGTATTGAGAGAACTTTTTAAAGAATTCACACTACATAGTGTACAACAGAGTAAAGCCTGTGAGGAAGTCGGTAATTCTGCATTCAAAAGTGGATTAGACTAGTGTATAACAAAGAAGGCTTGGGGCCACCCATTGAACAATGAGGACAAGAGTAAATATTGAATAATTGCTCATTCAGTGAGCACTGTCCACACCCTGCACTGAATGAAGCGGCAGTTCTGTAAGGGAAAAAATGCACACAATCATGCAATTAAAGATTGAATCACAGGACAAATGATAAAGGAAACAAATTAAGCCTGTATAAGCAACTTCAATTCTGTTGTGCTTAAGAATGCTTAGGGTAGAACCTTGGTATTGCAGTTTTCTTTTAACAAGCTTTGATATGCAGTACTATTTAGGATACTGTTATCTATCACTGTAGCATCTGAAGAGAAATATTGTCTTCATCATTCTAGTTCAGTTGTATTTCTCATGACTGCTTACCATGATGCTTTTTTCACTAATTACCACAAATAAGGAATAAACTACCTGCAGAAGAGTTGACAAGTCTGACCCCCCCCCATCCCATTGTAGGCTATTTAATACAAATATACATATATTAAATATATAGCAAGTAAACTACAGATTGCTATGATACTTACTAACAAAGTAATCAACAAAACTTTTCATAAAACACAACGATATCCTTTTAAATTGTTCAGATTTAGAAGAACAGGAGTTACTTTGCTTCACTTTTTGTACATAGAAAACATTTCTGCTAAATTTTTAAATATATTTAATTTTCTTCTAGCAAATGTATATGAAGCTTACATCACCAAAATATTCTGCAGATTTTTACTTGCATGACTAACACCAAAATGCCAGGTAGCATTGTGCTCAGCACCAGAATTTAATGTAGAGCACATTAAAATGTTTATTATTCTCCATTTACTCTTAAAAGTTTTTACAAGATTAGTACCTGCAGCTGTGCTTTCAAGAGCTGTTGGTTCGTAATTTTCTCTTTCAGCTGCATCATTTTTTCAATTCGTTGGTTAACTTGCTTATCTTTTTTAAGTTCATTTTCATAAAATCTAGAACCCTGTAAGAAAAAAAAAAATCATAAAAACGCTAAGGTTTTTATTTGTTTGCCTTTTCCTACAAATAACTAAATAGTAAAATATCCGTATACTTTAAATTAAGAATTTTAATGAAAATAATTTGAAAATATTTAGAATGATCAAATTTAATCTTTAAAATACAGAAAGGGTTTCTAATATTTTGGATTTTTATGTAACTGAAACAAAAGAGACAAAAGGTGCTTTTCATATGTCTTCTCAAATGACACAAATTTAATATCTTTCCTTCTCAGATACACTCAGAGTTTGGGAGACTATTCAGAAACCTTGTTATGTTTACAGAAAACAACTAAAAATGGTAAATAAACGTCAAACCGTTCTTTGCATTATCTTCAAGATAGTGGGTATAAAATATAAAATAATCGTTTCACCACATTTCCATATAGTTGAATCTGAGAAGCTGCCCTCCTTTTACATTGGTGAGGGAGAAAATTTGGGGAAGCCAAGAAGGGGGCCCTTTTGATGCTGTGCAATAGATAAAGCACTAGAAAAAAAGCAAACAAACCAACCTTGGTAGCCTCCATGATGATTTTATTGATCTTCTCTTTATCCAAACCTTGCATTCCAGCTTTGTTATCATTGAGGCCCATTCTAAGTAGAACGCCATCGTTACAAGAGGTGTTATCCACTTTTATGTCATCCATAGGAATGTTTTCTTCTCGAAAACAAGAACTTGTTCAAAGACTTAATACCTGCAAAAAGAATTTAAGTCATATACTTCTCTCCAAGTTTCAGCTGAACGATAAAAAAAGTTGTGGAATTCATCTGATGTATGTTACATATATACATGAAAACAATACACATACCACAAATATAAAGACTTGCATTTCTGTAAAGTAGCTGAGTCACCACATTCACTAAATAAAGCCACCTGTAACTCTGTCAGTATTTGGAGACAGTAAGATTTTACTTTTTTAGTAAATTAAACATCCTTTTCTAAAAGCTCCCTTACAGAAATACCCGGATACTATCAGTTTCCGATAAAGACCAGTACCTTATGTATATACATGAGATTTATGTCCATATATTAGCCTATAAGAAGAAACGCTATTGCCTTAGATACAAAATAATAATGTTTACTAGACTATTACATTAAAAAAGGATGATTTTAAATTGCAGCAGACTACTGTTCATTTTGTCCTTATTCCTGCTTGAGACAAGCCACAGAATCTTTCCCAGTAATTTCTAGCTCAAATTCAAAATTTTTGTTTGCGTTATATCTCATGTTTGAGGAAGAGATGGTTTAAATTAAAAGCTTTGAATAAAACTTTATTGTTTAATTCAGTGTTAAATTCCTTCATTCTTTTTTTCCATGAATAAGTATAGCCATGGCATCCAACCACTAGAACTTACCATGCTTTTACTACTCAATTAGTGCCATCAGTAATTTCTTATACATTCAGGTACTTCTGATATGCAAACTTGTGACATTTCCCTTGCTCTTTATGAAAGTAAATAGCTGAACCCTTCCACAGTCTCTAATTACATGGTAAATTGTTTAGATATTACATTTATATTAAAAAAAACATACAAATGTTGCCCTCTGTAGCATGATCTTGTGATCTTATTTTTGCTGGGTTAGCACACAAGCAGGGTCCAAGTGTGACACTGTCATAAATTACTTAACATGTATTTATTATTGAAAAAGCATACAGAGGGAGTTTCTTCCTACCCTGAGCTGCTGACTCAGTTTCAGCTTTACTCTCAAGCAGGAAGCACACTTGCTCCTGAACTTCCCCTCTGAGCTGCCCCTTGCGACAGGAGCCCTTCCTGTTGGGAGGAGCCACACCCTCTCAGGCACATACAGCCGCTCTGTTCAATACAACCCCAAACTATGCAAATCTAAGAAGAGCGTTATAACTCATGTAGAAAGATATTTAAAATGCTGCTTTCCCAGTCCAGGAGTTCAGTGGCACTCATTACCAAGCAAGCTGAAGAATGTCATTATGAATTTGCGCATTTAGAGCTGAATTTTTGCTGTTAAAGAACTACATAGGTGACTCTTTAAAACTAAGGGTGGCAATGTCACTTTCCTGAAGATCATCTTCTGAAGCCCGCTAGCCAGTTGAAGTCACGTATTAAAGTCATCCTTTTAAAAAAAAAAAGTTTGGACAAAAATATTCTAATTTTAATCACAGTCTATTCATTGAGATTATTATTCATGATGTCTTCAGAAGATGCAAGACCAGTTTTGTAATACCGTGTTTATTGCCAGTCTGTTGCATTTCAAGGAACAGAAGAAAAAGAGGAGACCAGAACTCTTCTCTTGACACTTCAGGAGCACTTTAGCCACTGTAATGCCACCTGGTGACGGGAGTAGCTCTCTGTGCATCTATCAAGTAAAAGACTATGATGGCAAACATTTTCATGAATTTTGCACTTGCGGCAGGGCAGGACAATCTCCTACGGTTAACATACACTTTTACCAGAATGGGGCTGCTAGACTTCAACCAAAGGAAAAAGCACTGCAGTCCACACATCAGTTCCGTGTTTCACACAAAGCTCATAAACACCTCCCATGTCAATTAGCTCCACAGGGATTACATTGTTACTGGTAATTTCTGTTAAGTAATAACTCCCAATAAACACTTCCCTCAGAGTAAATGCTCTCAGATCCTCCGTTACTCTCCTTAGCTCTTTTATCACCCATTCCTTCCAAGAAGCTGGCATGAAAAGAAAATTATTGCTGCCAGACACCATTCCAATCTCTGCAAATTTTTTATGCTGCTCCATATTCCAGAAGAAGTATCTTTATCCTTAGGATATACAGATCTTTCCCCTTCCTCATTCAGATCACTCTCTTAAAGGCTGTTTTTCTGCAAGGGCTTCAAACATTAATTCATATCAGTGAAATGCTTTCTCTAGCACACTGTTATATAACTTGTGAGAAAAATGACCGTGATAATACCAGTGATGAAAAAAAAAAAATTGCCTTTAAAATGTCACATGAACGCTTGTCTCCTAATGTGCTTTATCTTTTGAGCTTCTTGCGCAAAATAGAATACATTGCTAGTACCAAATAATGAAGTGTATAAAAATTACTAGCTTAACTGCAACTGACAAGAAATCATTTACTTGGGGACATGGTGTTAGTTCTCCACCAAAGATCAAAGGTGTACATAAGAGAAAAGATTAATAACAACGACAATTTTCAGTTGCTTAAGGAAAAGAAAACCTGAAGATATTTTCGTATTTAGAATGATATGTCTGAAAAAAATAATTAAAGTATTTAGTGTATTTAAATGAATCATAGAAGCTACAGTAAGACAATAAGTACACCACTGTCAGATAAAACCAGTAAATCATCTGCCATTGACAAAGTGAAAATATCTAAGGAAACATAGGAGAAGCACAATTTGAAACACTATGCAAAATGTGAACAAAATACCAGTGTAGAAACTAGTAAGAGTGACTAGTAACGGTTTCAATGCAAAATTAACCTAGGGAAAACATTTAGCTTGTAGCAACATGATCTTACTAAAGTTTTATCTAAAACAACTTGAAAAACAGAAGAAAGGTTTATAAAGTGATGAAACATTAACTCAGAATAGTCTGGGCAAAGAGTGACATACTTTTGGCATGCTGTCACCTCAAGACTCTGCTGCAAGACTGAGCTGTTTCCTCTAATTCAGGACAAGTTATATCTCTCAGCATCACACCAAGTAAGTAGGGTGTGAAATGAGGGAAGCTTGTGAAGGCAATCTACAATTAAACACGATCCTATTATTCCTTTGATTTGGGGATAGTAGAGAGGAGCAGGATAATCACCTGCAAATGGAGGAGTTACTTTCAAATTGCTACTAAAAGGACTTCCAAAGGTAAAGAGCAAGAGTTAATGGCAGTTAGTGGGGGGGGGGGGGGGGGGGAAAGGAAAAAAATAAAGCTTGTTTCCCTCCCCGCCCAACATCCTGTCCTCTCACAGTGCCAGATGCTGCCCAGTTGGATCCAACCGGTTATCACATCCCTCTATGCCATGAAAACGTCTGAGGCACTTGCATAGTGTCTTGGTGAAAACGTCATAAGACTGAAACAGAAAAAAAATGAACCACAATTTAATTGCAAGCGCCCCCACCTTTATTCAAAATCAATATCTTTTGGGATGGTTGACTCAACTAGCCTGAAGGAAATGGCTTGTTTTTGACACTGTGCCACTCCTCCAGCCTGTCTTCACTAAAAATCCAGCAATTCCAGCATCAGAAACAAGTGTGTTGTGTGAAAACTTAAATGCCTTCATCCTTAAATGTAAAAATACTAATACGTGAGAAAAAGGAAGGCCAAAAATATTTCTAAGAATATTCAGCTTGGTGGACACAGTGTTATTAGCAAAGTAATAAGAAACTTTAAAAGTGTTAACAGTTTGCCTTTCACTGACAGTGTAACAGCTTACTAAAAAGAAATATGAGAATTGGAAAATGACACCAGTATGGAAAACCTTGGAAGAGAATTTACTTACACACTGAATGATGATTTGATGCATGTAAATTGTGTACCAGTCCTCATAAAGGAAAACAAATTCTGTCATCTTTGCCATCAGACACTTATGCCAACAAAAAAAATAGAATGAGATGCAAAGAAGTTACTAAGATGTATCACTGCTGACCTCCCCTTCTCCTCAAAAGCAGAATGTAAGAACCAAGTAGCATATTACAGACAAGTAAGGAACCATCTTTTGTATCTAGATTGCCCAAAGTCAGTCTTCAGAGTGTGTAAAAAATACTGATATTGGTAATAGCAACACAATTACTTCAAGTCCTCTTTCTATATTTTTTTAAATTATAATTATTATTATTTTTAGGACAGCTAAAGTAAGGATCCCAATTACATGGTTCCTTCAATTTCTGTAAAACTTATAAAAGCCACACATCATTTAATCAAAATCTGGCACCTCATTTTATTACAGTATAAGCCTGAAATAAACTTCCTATTTTCTTCAAAATAAAATCTATTTGGAACACTCTTTTATCTTAGCTCTTCCAGTGTGTTTATTTTAATACGAACAAAGCAAAACTGTAAGAGCTACCTCGCATGCAAACATTGAAAACAGCTGAAGGGATAGCTTCAGTAATCCTATCATTAAGTAGGTCACACCAGAAAAAAGAATTGTTGTTACAATGAATTTCAGTGACAAGGCCAAGATGTTAATAAGACTTGTGTAACTGCACTGAAAGCACAGCAGACAGTTAATCAAGTCAGATGAAAGACTTACTTCATCCAGTTTTGACTATGAAGAATCACTTATCAAGCTTTTGGCTAAAATCAGGCTTAGTGTAGTGCAGATCACTGTTATATGGGACTCTTGAGCTAGTACTACACTAAAAGCATCAATGGGAAGAAGAAAAAAAAAAGATCGAAAAACTTCCTTTGAGATATGGATGTACAGCTGAGACTGCGGACTTTTTTTTCCAATGAAAAAAACCACAAATGACCCATTATCAAATATTACTGAAAGTTAGGGCAACTCAGTGCAATCATGGGGTGGAAAAACATCTTCCATGTTGTACTTAAACTCAGAAAGACATCTTGGGTTTATTTAAAATAAGCACATCCATATAGAGGATGGTTGTGAGGAAAATCAAACTCCCTTGAGCACTCCCTAAGTTCAGAGAGCCTCAAAAGTCAACCATGAGTGAAATACCTAGTTTTAACCCATTTCGGTAAGACAGTTAATTCAGCAGTTTAAGAGTCAAAATGATTTTAGTTACTTCAAGAAGTACATTTGTTGTAAAAGATCACTGTGCCCCCACCTCACCATAACACACACTTAGGTCAACTGAAAAACTCATAAGCCAAGACAAGCAACATGAATGAAAGTAAGCAAGCTGGGTAAGTGCATCTCCCTAGTGCAAACGTTACAAAAAAATGTCACTTATAACCACCTTTTGTAGTTACTTACTTTTGTACTGAGATGAAATTAAAGCTTATTGTTGTAAGCAGCTTCCTATACTAAAGGAAACATAAACTAATGACACAGATAACCCTTAATCATGAACAGTCACTATTCTAGATCTCAGATAGGAAAACTTGTATTCATCCATTGGCCAGAATTTCAGTCTATATAAAATATAAAATACAGTTCAAAGAAACTGTGCAGGAAGTCATGTACATACTGAGTCAAAAGACAAGTGATCAAGACTTTTTTTTTTTTTTTGGAACTGTGAAAATTGTTTTGACAAGAGGTGTGGAAAACGGTTAAACTACAGCACAAGTGAACGGGGATACTCTTGGAAGTGACAATCACTTGTACCAAAGAAAATCCTCCATAAATACGTCTGAAGTACTATCTGCATCTACCTCATTACTTTTCGTCAAATACTGAAGAACGCTTGAAGAATAGAGAATTGAAGAGCAACTGCAGAACCAACAGGCCATTTTGTTTTTGCTCCAATTGCTAATTAAGATTAAGCTGGTGGCCATGCAACTGGTTGTCTTATTCCACCCACTGCACAGAATTATCTTCATCAAGGCTGTGCATGTAGCTGTTTGCAGCACCATCATTAAAGAATTAAATCTCAGCTACCTACCTTGGTATAGGAGTTAATCCATCAACAGAGCTGGGCCATCTGAGCCATGGTTTTCTCCCACAAATGCACTATTTTCTCTCTTTAATTCCTAAGGCAAGATCAAACATACATTTCCTAAGGGTTTTCATTTCGCAAATTAGGAAAATTCGACACTACTAAAATATTTTGAGCATCTCTGATAATTAAAAGGTGACACTACAGTTATTACATCCGATTTCATAATACTTGAATTATCCATTATTCGCCTAAGTATTTTATCCCAACAAAGTAACATTATGTTACACAGGATCCTTCAAGGAGTGCACCTGCCTCTTCCGAGTACTCACCTGGCAAAGAGTATTAAGGTTGACAGGATCAAATTTAACAAACTCCTTAACTCTTATTTCCTTGTAAAAAATACGTTCCTTTGATAATGACTTAAGTGTCAGCCGCTATAAAGTCTCTGCTTCTCAGCAGGATGGACCACCGACAAAGACACGTGCAAGCAGGCGTATCGGACTGTCCTTCTGAACTACCTGCTCAATTCTTTTCAGCCACAGGGGGCTTGATATTTACTAGAGCCTTGGTTCCTGAACAGCCCCAAGAAGCAGACTCCTGTCAGTTTTGGGCAATTCACAGAAGTGAAAATTCTGAGGGCCCAAGCTAACACAGCAGAATTGAACTATTTTTCAAATAACAACTGACTTAGCATGTTATAAAAACTCAGACCCCATCCAAGTATCTAGAGTCAGCCTTCAGAAAGACCGCTCCTGGAATCATGTCTTCTCTGAAACCTTTGGCTTCCAGATGTAACAAAATACAGATAGTTTAAGCCTTTTACAAATAAGTGATTCACATTGCAAAGTAAACAGATAAAGACTACTTCTGACAATGACAAAAATGAAGAAAATATGTCAACATAACTGTTTTGTACTCTTCATCAAACTATTCAAGTTACTCTTATCTAAGAAGAGCTAAGTAAAATAACTGGACTATCCATCCCTGATTAATTTTCTACATAGAAGATACAGTACAATTCTGTTATAAGTCCTTTTTTCAGCTCCTCTGTAGCTTTTTTTTTTTAAAGACCAAAAAACAAAACCACAAACAAACAAAAAGAACAACCTTATCTGACTTTAAAACTTCAGTGTTTATGCCAAGGGCAGAGAATTTGGTGAGTATCTTTCCTTGTCTCAATTACTATTCAGCCTTTCACAAGACCTTTTAAACTGAAAAAGATTTATTTTAGTTTCTAACCAAGATTTCCTACTTTAGTATTTTGTAAATTAGTGAAAACAAATGTTATACGTTTTACTTCAGAAAGAAAATATTTTTCGGAATAGCTTATATCTCAGAGCCTATTAGTTAATACGGTGCTGTATAAACAAAACTCCTTCAAGAGTCATCTTAAGGAAAATAGTTTTAAACATAAGAACAAACGTAACTGCAGAAGCACATACATACTAGAAAATGATATATGCACTAAGGATCAATGTGTTTTAATAACACACAATGAACACTCTACAACTTACCTTCAACGCTATATATCACTTGTATTAATACAAGGATTCACAGGAGAAAGGCAATCAAGAGCAACAGAAGGAGCAGGTACAGTAGTAGTGGAAATAAGAGGTAGAAAAACAGGATATAAAAAAGATCAGATATTTAGGAAGTTAGTCATTGACATTTATGACTGACATCGTCAGAAGTAAAACCACAAGAAGTAATTTTATAATAGTATCTGTCCCACTATTAAAAGAAAGGTGATGACCATTTCCAGTTATGATAATTTATAAACACCTCATAACCTGTATCTAAGACACTAGCAGGAGTAAAAATTACGTTCTGGGGCTCCCAAAGAAAGAAGGAACACAGTAACAAAATAAAGGTCTAGTAGAAAAGACACAGAAGGAGGTAGAGAGGAGTGAGTGGTCTACAACAGCATTTCTGTTTGGATAAGTAGCATGCTTTTGAAGTGTATCTCCTGATTACTTTCATTTACCATGGTTTTAGTTTGCATCACTGATTGGTCTTGAAGTATGCAAACTCAATTCCTTTCAAACTAACCTAAACTGAAAGATGAGCTTCTGGAGGACAACTGATCATTCCAGTTGCTATCAGAGATTCTATCCGTGGGACCAAACCACAGCTAACCCAAAGTAAAACCTCTTAAAACAGATATAGGACGAACTTCAGGTCCTCAGCTTCTAAGTCTTTTCTTCTACAGATCTGCTCCTACCGCACCACACCACTCGCTAACAAAGATATGACCTTAACAAAAGACTAGTTACACACAGAAAGGAGGGTCACAGTATTATAAAGAAGAGTTAATACATTTCAGGTATTCACAATCCTAGCAAGTCTGTCAAAAGGAACATAAGAGGGTAACACCATGGCGAAAAATTGATCATAGGAGGATGTGGCAGATGTAAATATATAATTGTTAGAACAGATGAAGCGTTATATAAAAAGATGGAAAGGCAAACATCTAGCCATCAAACTCAAAGTTATGGTTCAAAAATGTTTACTAGACTTAATCATTAGAATACATATATTCTCTTGAAAAAGGATGACTCTGTAAGCAACCTGAAAGAATGTCTACCCTTTGAATTTTTGATTTCTGATGCCTGTTTGAGTCAATCTATACTTTACAGAGAGGAAAAAAAAAATAGAGCTACTGCTGGAATGAAGGGGACAGTCCTCAACTGAAAGCATGAGAGCACATGGTGATGTGAGTACACAGCAGCGCCATAGCCAACAAGCTTTGTTCAGACACGTCTCCTCACTTCCTGCTCTCAGTTAAAGAAGTTCATTCAGAGTCTGATAGAGAAAACATGACTGCCCTTCAAAGTGAAGAGAACGATCTCTCGTTGGAGAGAACGATAAATTCTTATATATATAAATATATATAAAACTCAACTACCCATCTTACTTAATAGATGCAATACATTGCAACAGACATTAAGAAAAATATCTTTGTTTCTGCCCAAACAGCTGGTGAATCAAACAGCAGTTTCTCAACAACTTTTTGATATATCAGAATCATCAAAAGCAGCATCCACAATCAACTTGCATAAAAATGTTTCTGTGCATTCCAACGACTAAATGAGTATTAACACTTCTATGACTCTATTACTTCCAGCTGTTTATGACAATGATGTTGCTTTACCATCCATCTCAGTGCTGCAGATTTACATTCATTGCAAACATCTTTATAGTGAAGACTTTGAGCTGATACTAACATTACCTAACATCTAGCAGTCACATATGTGGGGAATGCATATACGTAATAATACTAACAGCTCTTTCAACAAAATAATAATCCCGTAACGGAAACTTTCAAGCAGCATAGTCTAGAAAAACTACACAATGATTTGTCACAAGGAGGAAGCCGCAGAAAATATTACGGTATTGCTCTTAAGGTATAACCAGGACAACATGTCCCAATACTAAAGCTTCCTCACCCAAAACTATTTTTTAACACAACCTTTTCAAGAGATCATGAGAAAGGCGATGAGCCAGCACAAATTGAAAGCCATTTGCAAACTACTACATCTATAGCTCAACTGCAAAATTATAACTTTCGACCGTCTTTGTTGTTGTTGCTTTCCGCAAATATTTCTCTGCTTATAAATATCGGTGAGGGATACCGGAAAAAAAAATTGTTTTCGTTTTATTCCCTGAACTGCTAAAACATTACACCGATAAAAATACAGGACACTGCTAACTCCTCTGACGTAGGCTTCTGACCGCCACCTTTTACCCTGCTCACAGCACACCCTCAGACAGAACCGGTAAAGCAAAAGCAACGCCGGCGGCGCAGAGGCGCTCTAGCAGCCTAACCCCGCAGTGACCGCCCTCCCGCAGGGTGAGCGACCTCGCCCCAAGCGCCGAGCGGTTAAAAAAAAAAAAGAAAAAAAGGAGGGGAA